ACAAAGAACGTTCAAAAACTTTGTTCGTACACACTAACGGGGATGTACTTTTTTCTACATGTCCCATGGAGTGATTCGTGCGTACGGATTTATGTACGAAAACGTGCTTAGTCATGTACTTATTCATACAGAAATATGGCAAATTTTGTGCATCAACTATTCACGGTAAAAACAATGTCTCATTTTTTGATGGGAAAAGGGGAAACTTTGAAGAACTCCCACGTTTGAAGAAGAAGACTCCTCCAATCTCGTCTCAGATTTCACAAATTTCTCAAATAATGGGGAAAAATCCCACATTGTTGGAGGAGACTTCCTCGAAATCTGAAGAGTTTTTGTCAAACCAGGAGAGTTCCTCAAAGATTTCCCTTTATCCTCAAAAAATGAGACATTGTTCTTACCGTGTTTTTGTGTTCATTTTACAAAATGGACATTAGATGAACCAGGCTTAGATGAAACGCCCCCCCCCCCCCCATATATGGCATGTCCGAAAAAGTTCTCACCAAAATGTGTATGGAATCTCTCAACACTAAAGTTTCTTTGTAAAAACTTTGCATAGCAAAATGGTACTAACAATTTATTTCGAAAATTTAAACATATAATAATCACTTTTTAAGATCCTGAGATTGTCAGTTTTTGAGCCATGCTGATTCCTTGACCTGTAGCGCAAGGTTGGCCGTCCCGGGCGCGGCACTCCGGGTAAAAATTAAGGATCAAGTCACGGCGCACGAAGCTGTTTGGCTACGTTTTATTTTTATTCCGCCAAAGTACTGCAGCGGCAAAGGGCGGAGGAGGCGGCAGCGAAACAACAGAGGAGGAAAAAAACTGTTTATAAATTGATTATGGGAAGAGGGCGGGAAAAGGGAGAGGAGGGGAGGCGGGGCAGCGTCGGTCTTTTCGTAAACATCGGTCGTTGGCGAAAAACATTATTTGGAGGGGCCTCAATTCGCGCAATCATTGGGAGCACGATCGGAGCTACGGGAAGCGTTCAGCTCTGCGTACACTTCGCGGTTCAACCCATTTTTTTGTTTTAATCACAGTTTTTTCATTTTTTATTTATTTTTGCGAACTCAGTAATCCAGCGCAAGCAAACCTTTGATCTGCATGTGAGGGTGAGGGTCATATGAGATGTTTCGCGCAGTTATGACTTGACGCCATTGACCCGTGAGTGTCGTGTGCCTGCCACGCCACTGATGAGGACCTCTGCCGATACGCGGAACGCTGACGATCCGTGCTTTACGCGTAATTTGTATTGCGGCTGGTTTGGTCGGGGATGAGTTTCTGCATTCATTCATCTTCCTAGCAGAGAAAGAGGGAGTGTTATGACTAGGCTGCATTATTTCCACGTAGGCCTGACACTCCTTTGTCTCGCGGAACAAAAGGCTTCGCTACCGGCAGCTCATACTGCTCCAGGTAGATAAAGGGCACATTTGACACATACACCAATTTTCCAAAAGTTTTTGACTTCCTTTAAAGAAATGGAAAAACAACTGTACACAGTAACTTTGACTGGTTGGTGTCTTCTAACGCCAAATTATTGGCGGCCTCCAAAACGCCCAAATATTAGCTTGCGTTCCTTCTTATAATTATTGCAAATATTGGCATTTTAACGCCAACCATATAGCGTCTTTTTGGCACTTGGCGTCCTTGAACGTGTTCACGTCTTCGAACATTGAGCACCAACATTTGGCCCCTTTAAACTGTGAGCGCCAACATTTGGCCCCTTTAAACTGTGAGCGCCAACATGTGGCATTTTCCAACACCACTATTTGGCATCTTCAAAGCATTTAGCCTTCATCAGTAGACGCAAATAATTTGGCGTTAAAAGACACATATTAGAGTATGTGCTTTTTAACCCATCCCCCTGCTTTGAAAAAGATGTCTAGCGGGCTTATGCAAACGACCTCGCGTCTGCCTGTCTCTCTGTTCCACTACAAGGAGATTTGCTAGAGACTTTAAATTTTCAGGGTATCTTAAGGTTTACCCCTAGAGAACGAAACGCCTGGGTATCTTAAGGTTTTCTCCTAGAGAACGAAACGCCTACGGCAAATCCTGGCAACCACCCTTAAGGAGTACTTCGACAAAGCACAAGTCTGCAGACTAAAATTTCACCCGTTTGGCTGCTAACCGTTTGGGCACTGAATGGTCTTTTTTGTCGAAAATAAGCCAAAAATTGCTGTAGTGAACATTAATTCGAAGAAGGGAATGAGGCATCGAAAGGTAAAAATGGTAAAGAAAGTCTCCCCCCCCCCCGCCCCCCATAACAGCACATTTTGAATCCAAACGATTCCTCGTCTGTGCTGTATCTTAAACTGTGTCGGCGCTAAGTGTATATTACTGTAACACCATGGCAAGAAGACTAGTTTCCTATCTGTTCAAAAACCAACACAACCTGAAAAACGCGATTCTCTTTTTTTATTAATTTTTCTTTGTAGAAGGGTGGGTTATAGTCATGGCGCTTCATCGTTAACATTCTTTCCTGAAGTCTAAGGAGCAAATTTTAAAGGGCCAGCTGGCTACTCCATTTGGCGGTAGGAACTCCCTATCAAGTACATTATATTTGACGTTTATGGGTCTCCCAGTGAGAAATTTATCCGACGACATCGTTTCGACATCGTTTTTCATGTCGTAACGACTTAAAAGCGGTCGTGAAATCGACGGCTTTTCGACAGTGAAACGTAGAAACGGCATCGAAATGACATCAATTCTCGAAAAGCCGTCGATTTTAGGACCACTTTTAAGTCGAAACGACGTAAAAAACGATGTCGAAACGATGTCGTCGGGAAAAATTTCTCACTGGGCTGTTTCGTTTATTCGCTTGGTCTTCTTTCGCTTTTTACTTTCTCTTCCTCGATCACACGCTAGGAGTGGTCAATCGTGCAGAGCTTTTTTCTCCTCCATATCTGCTTTCCAAAAAATCGAAGAGCGCGCTCAACTTGACACTAAACGTCAGATTATCGCTCCTTCCTTTCAAACAAAGCAGGTGAGTGCGGGTCTCCTCCCCACCCCGGTGGAGACCCACCCACGAGGCAGTGCGGGCCCGTCCCGTGTCCCTTCAGCTTCAACCTTCAACACCTACTTGACACTTTTATGACCGTCAATTTCTCATACCGTGGTCTTGGTTGTGCTATTCGCGTAAGGACGTGTGGGGTTGGCTTGACAGCTTGCGATACCCCGTGTAGGTAAAGTACGGCAGTACATATCTTGGCTATATCGACGCGTTTTCTTTTCCCTATTGCATATTTCTGTTGGATATTATGCATTTTTAAGGAAGATTTAGATCCAGCTAAGAGCGTGATAAACATTATGAGAGCATAATATTTGCAACATAACGATACCCAGTGTATGTAGGTTGTGTAAAGAGAGTAAATAGTGTATTATAATCGATTATTATTATGGTGGACTTGAGTATCCTTACCAAATTTCTCGGCCAACTTTACAAAGGTATTTTAGGATGCGTTACAGCATTAGCACCTAATTAAGAAGGTTATCTAAACAAAATTTATTATGTGACAACATAATTTTACCATAGTTTTCATTAGTAGAAATATCCTCGTTGTTGTTTCTCTTGTTTTGTTTCCTGTGCGTCTCATACTCTTCTCTCGCTGGGGGGCACGGCAGGTCCGACCAGCTGGCCCGTTGTCCGCATCCTTCCGTGAACGTGTCGCTGTCACCTTCGCTTTCCGACTCCTCCGAGTAGACAGTGGCGTTGCGTGGCCTTGCAATAGAAAAAGGGTTATCCGTTGGACCTTCCTGTTATACACTTCTTAAAACACTTTCCGTGCGGGACCTTTTCTGGCTATCCCCTTCTCAGATGCGGCCCTCACTAAATTTAGGGAGTCTTAGTCGTCATCAGAGGTACATGAAAATTTTAGGGTACACGGCAGTATTAGGTTAGGAAACACTTTAAGGTGGGTCCAGTCCCACCGCATGGACACTGAGGCCAATTTACAACTGTGTTTTGCAACCAAACTGTTAATGCATGCATACTTCTTTCTGTAGAGGGGGAAAAGGTGTGTGTGTGTGGGGGGGGGGGGGGGGGGGGGGGGGGGGAGAGAGAGAGAGAGAGAGAGAGAGAGAGAGGAGTATTTTGGCATGATGTGATTGCGGGTGGTTCGTGCAGGAGAACAATCGACTGCATGGCCACCCCTGTGAGCCACAGGTCGGTCCGAGGCGCCTGCACGCCTGTCCGGCCCGGCCGCTACTACTACTGCCCCGGCCCGGGCCCCTCCAGGACCTCTCCAGGACCCCGCCAGGACCCCCAACGACCCCCCAGGCCCCCC